AGCTGTTCCCACACAGTAACACGTCGCTGGTGCCGTTCTTGAGCATGTAATTTTCTGGAAGAGACATATCCAGTGGTGAGGGTCAAGGTGGCCCAGCCTCCTGGGCTCCGGCCTTGCACCCAGGACTTTGCAGAGGTAGAGACACAGGTGATGGTCTTCCCACCTCTCCTCCTCCTCCTCCTCCTCCTCCTCCTCCTCCTTCTCCTCTTCCTCCTCCTCTGACATTCAGCTGCCAACGTCCCTAGCTCTCTCGGGAGACTCAGAAGTCCCCACAGGGAGCATCTGCGCTTTGCCTCATGCCACACAAGGGGCCCCCGGACCGAGAGGCCCTGCACTAGGAGGCAGGGCCTGGGCAGAGTTCCAGCTGGGCTGCCGAGTCACGGCGTGGCCTCAGCAGGCGACTGCCCAGCTCTGTCTGGACCTACTTCCTTGTGCATAAAGGGATGGAAGTGACGCCTGCCCCAGTCACCGTGGCCAGAGTGTGGTCTCTTCGGACAGGGGCGGGGGGAGGGGGGGCAGGCCCAGGCCCTCTCCTCTCTGTGGCCATCGTCAGTCCCCAGCACTCACTGCTCCCTGCCTTAGTCTTAGGCAGCTGTTCTCCAAGTCTGGTCCTGGGACCAGCGGCATCAACTGAGAACTGGAGAGAAATGTAACTTCCTGGGTGCCCCCCCCCCCCCAATCTACTAAAGCTCCAGGTGGGCACCCCCCAGTCTGTTTTCCAAAGTCCTCCAGGTGACTGGCGCCCATGAACCCTTGGAGCCAGAGCTGTGGGGCCACAGCTGAGCCATATGCAAATTCCCCCACTGAGGTTCTGCCTGTGCTCCGTTTCCCAAAGTGGTCGCTGGTGCATGCGAGAGGCCCTCACTTCACAGGGGCCCTCAGGGTCCTTGTGGAATTCGGTCTAGGACAGTGTCTCCCTTGGTCCAGACCCATGGCACTCGCCAAGAGATGTGCTGGCCACCAGCCCGGAGCATGGCAGTGTCACCCATGGGGCAATGGCACCACAGGGGCTCACATGACTATGCAATCACTAAGCTTGCCCTATCCCTTTCACGGGGTTCTGGGGAGCACGCGTGTGGCATTAACATCCTGGCAAGGAACCCCAAGGTCAACTGAAAAAAAATCTCGTGCTGTGCAGGTGGGGCTTCCGCTCTGGAGCCTGATAGGCTACCCCGGCTCCATGTCCCACCCTTTCCCCAGCCAACACTCCCATCTCTGCAGGCAGGATGGTCTCTAGGGTCAGTCCCTCCTCAACATGTCGCAGCTGCTGCTCCCGTCTGGCTCTCCATCGAGCCCGAACCCCTTCTTTGCAACCTTGAAGCATCATCTCCCACCCAGCCCGAGAACTCGGAGGGCAGCCCTACATCTGCTCCCCTTCTTCCTCTCTCTGAGTCCAAAGGGTAGGGGCTGGGGTCCCTGAGCCCGCAGCTACATCTCGGGTGGGAGGTGGGGGGGGGGTCAGACAGGGTTTGGATGGCCCTGCAGGGAGGCCTGCCCAGTGGCAAGGCCGGTGTGGGCGGTGGCCCAGCCCTGGAGGCCTCAGAAAGCCTGGCCCGGCCCCCGGGGTGAACGCGTACCTGGATCGTTGAGGTAGAGGTCCAGCGAGTCCCAGACCTGGCCACCGGCCTCCACGGAGCCGTTGGTGTCGTTGAGCTCCGTAAAGTTGCGCACGCACTTGTGCCGCAGGTTGCCCATGAAGAGCTGCAGGCCGATGAGGGCGAAGACGCTGAGGCAGAAGACGGTGAGGACCATCACATCGGCCAGCTTCTTCACCGACTGGATCAGCGCCCCCACAATGGTCTTCAGGCCTTGCGGGAGGCAACAACAAGCAATGGAGTCACCCCCGGGCACCGGGCCTCCCGCTCCCCTGGGCGGGGGCAGGCCTGAGGGGGTGCTGGGCCACGCGGGCCATCATGAGGTGGGGGCAGCGTGAAGGAGGCCTCCTCTTCACTGAGATTCTGTCCCGATTCCCCTGGGGCAGGAGCCATCCGATGGTATATTTTCAGAGCGCCCAGTCCCCCTTGCTCTCCACTAGCCTCGTACATGAATTGGGCGTGGAAAATGCCTTTTGCTTGTGGAAGCAAAGACTCAAAGCCTGCCCCCCTCTGGCTCGGTCCCAAGGTATGCTGGGCCTGCCCCTTTAAACATAGCCTTCAGACAGGCGATTGAGGTGAGGCCCATTCAAGGACAATGGAGGGGCTCAGCCTTGATCCTGTGATGGGGAGAGACACAGGTGGAGGATCTACTTCATGTGCTGGGGGGCTGGGCAGGGGGAGGTCTGGCAAGGCCATGCTGGTAATGCCCTCAGGGGCCTGTTCTGGCTCGCTGCCCCCCTCTGGGAAGGGTTCAGGGGCAGGGGCGGGGTTGGCCTATATTGCATTTTCCTCCTCTGCCCTGTGCCTCTGGGACCCGACCCTGCGCATCCCCTTCCCCAAAGCGGAGAGGCCGTGACCTGTTAGTCGCACAGCCCAGCTCCCTACAGAAGCCAGCGCCACACAGTGAGGTGACAGAAAAGCAGGTGTAGACACGGTCCGTCTGACACCCGAGCTACTGCCCTACGAGAAGTTCAAGTTCGAGCCCAGCATGGGGAGTGAGGGAGCTTCTTTGCCAGCAGCAGGGCCCTGCCCCACGACCCCGTCCACCTTCCCCCCACCTCCCCACCCCACCCCCCCAAGCGGCCAGATCTCAGATTAAGCTCCATCCATCCATTGTCCAGCCGGTTAATGTGTTAGGAGCACCCGTGGCGGCTGTGCCTGAGGCTGCTGTGTCCATGACCCGAGACAGGGAGGCGGCGATGGGCAGGCATGGGAGAGGAATTCTCAGCCATGGTGCCACCAACGCTGCTGCCTGCCCAGGGTGCAGAGGCACTCAGCACTCTCTGTGGAAATCGTCCTGGCAGATGCTGGCAACCGCCTGGGCAGTGGGGGGACCGCGCAGGGGTCTGGGCATGCAGTGGTGGTGGGATTCACGAGTCCTTTGGAGTACAGAACCCCTTTTCTCTAGCGGAGGTTCTTGGACCCCTCAGCGGGCACATTCTGGTTCTGCCCACTGGGCCCAGAGACCTTGGCCATAGCCTAGGGGCCTGTGGGGGGCTCGGTGAGGGGTGGCGGGCCGCAGCTCGCACACCCAAATTGGATGCTGTCTCAACTGCTAGGCCGAAGCCTCTTTGGCCTAAAGCATCCAGTTCAAGGCCCAGCCAGGCACCTAGTGGTCTTTGGTCATTGGTTGGTGAGCACAGACTAAACCTTTTAATGTTTCTCATATCGATGACAGTGTTCGCTTTTGGCAAGAATAATTCAAATGGAATTACAAGATGCTTTTTGAAAAGACCTAGGAAGGTCCGAGTCCTGGGGGATCAAATTAAAAATTCTCAGGCCACTAAAGTTCTAACAGGCTGGGCGAAGAGCCCCTGGAAACCGACCATTCCTATTCCATCTTCATGTTATGGGAAAGGAGACCAAGGTCTGGAGAGGGCCAAGGCTATGTAAGACTCAGCTCAGGGGCACCTCCTCCAGGGAGTCTTCCAGGATATGGGTCACAACATTTTCCTAGTGACCACTTTCAGGGTCTGCTCTCTGCGGCTTCCCTGGGTTGCCGGCACCTTGAAGGGATCCCAGGGGGCTGGGTTCAGGTTGACAGGCTTCTGCTCTCCCCCAGGACTGAGAAATAGTTTTCTTTGTCAGCCTTTTTTATAAAAGAGACTAGAATCTGGCTGTCCTTCACTGCTATGGCCAGTGTGCTTAACCTCTCTTGTGAGGTGTGCTCTGAGGTTGTCCCTGGGACCCTAGAAGACAGACCCCAAGGCTTCCGAGCATGTATGTGCTTGTCAAGGCAAAGGACACCTGTCCCAACGGGGCAGCTCCATGGGAGTGGCTGGGAGCAGCGGGTCCCCCTTGCTATTGGCTCTTAGCAGGAATCTGGGCTGCCTGTGAGGGGCAAGTGGCCCCTCTGCATATCCCACGGTGGGTTCGGAGGCCAGGAGGAACCTTCTGAGGCTGGGTGTGAACACTGCATAAGTGGGGAGTGCTCCTGGTAAGATAATTAACCCCACCAGGGGGAGTCTGAACACCTCCGGGGAGCTCAGAGCGGGGCGCCTGCCTCTGTGGGGGCAGTAACAGCCAAATGCAGGCCCAGAGGCCAGGACCCACCAGCTTCTCACATCAGGAGCCGGTGCAACCACCCAGCTCACGGAATCCTCTCCTCAGCCCTGACCCTCCAGATCAGCGGCGTGCAAGTCTCTAGCTGCCTTCCGAGCAGAAGTGCCTTCCCCACTCCGCTCCGGGAGCAGCTGCATTCAGAACAAACCCTAGAAAGCCGCTGGGCACAGCCCCCGGGGCTCTGAAATCGTGTGTCTTTCGGGAGCTTCCCTGGATGGATGGGGCTGCCGGACTTTCTAGGGAAGCCGTCTGGCCTTGGGAGACTTCCTGCTCCGGTTGCCAACATCTGTCAAGGAGAATTTCTGCCGGAGGCTACCATGCGCGGTTTGCTAAACATCTACCGCACCATGCAGCGAGGGCTGTTAGACGCCAAGGCCGACGCGCCTGTCCGCAGAGTACCTTGCTCAGCTCACACCCTGGGGCTGGGGCTGGGCTCTGCACAGACCCCCAGAGGGGATGCAGGCAGGGGCCGGGCACTCGCCAGGAAAGGCGGGCGGAGTTCTCCTTTTTTGTTCCCCGTGTGGATGTGGTTTCCAGGAGGAGGATGCTTCAGGCAGAAGCAATTGACATACAAGCTTTCAGCTATTCAAACAGCTGTCAGTTGGGGAAAGAAATTCCGATTTGGTGGAGAATCTGGGTTCGTTCCAGGCCCTGCCAGGGGGGCGTCTCTATGTCCCCCGGTGTCTGTGCAAGTGGGCTTGGCTGGGGTGGGTGAAGCTTTGAGGAGACAGCCGTCCCCACCGCCGTCCGCTCCCACACCCGAGCTCTGGGGCAGGTATTCTGCTGACAGGCACATGCGAGGGGCCTTCCTGAGGGTCCCCTTGACGCTCAGGTGGCCGGAAAGTCCCTCCAGCCTTGGCGTTTAACCTGATTTTCACCTGAAATGACTGATATAGTTTTCAGGGCCCGGAGGACTCGGAAGGTGCGTAAAGCTGAGACATTGCCCAGGTCCACAAATTCAGTTGTGTATCTGTAACAAGGGAAGCGCACACACACACGACACAGTGACGACACGCCAGGAGGAGACACACGGTGGGTTGGGGGGGGGGCGGGGGGGGAGACAGAGAGAGAGTCACTTGTCGCCGAGATCTGCGAGGCGTGCCTGGCGTCTTACCTGGGATAACCGAAATAGTTTTTAGAGCTCTCAGGACTCTGAAAGTTCGAAGAGCCGACAAATTGCCTAGCTTTATATTTTCTGATACATACCTGCAGAATCAAACCACAGTTATTGGGATTTACAGCAGCACCTTAGCCTGCCCTCCCGGCCAGCCCTCCCGCATAGGGAGAAGTGTGGATGGGCGGGGGGCTCCCCTAAATTCTCTTCCTGAGCCGAACCCTCCTGCCATGGGGACCTCCGTGAGGGTGCCTTGGGGATTCCACACAGCAAGCCCCAGGCGGCTTTCGTGGCGATGGTCCCGTGAACACCCAGTGCCAGGAGGCAATGACTCGGCCACATTCGCCGTGACACTGGGACCGTGACTCAGCACATGGCAGGCAGGGGCTGAGGATGGAGACATAGTGGGGTGGAGAGGGACACTCTCCCAGGAGGCCTTGGCCAGGCGATAGAGGCACAGGTGGGCTTCTGAGCCTGGGTTCCCCGGCATTTTCTATGGCCTGGATCACCTGCTTGTGCCTGCCTGGCTGCTCCAAACCAGGGGACCCTGAAGCCCCGGCTGAGACCACCCCGGAAGTGTGGCTGGGTGTCTGAAGGCTGCCCACTTTCTCCCTGAAACCATCAGGAGTCAACCGAGAAGCAGAGCTCCCCCACTGCTCACAGGCAGTGGCCAACAGAAGGAGAGAAAAAAGCAGGACCAGGGATCTGAGGGAGACTCCAATCCCTCCCCCCTGCATGAGTCCACCCCAGTCTCACCCCAGACCCTCACTGTCCCCCAGGGATGCCCTGGTCTCCACAGGAGGAGAGACCTCTGGAGGTGAGCAGCCATTGGGGTCTGCTTGAGCCCAGTGATGCTGCGCAGAGCGGAGTGGGCGCGGGCTCCCGCCTACAGCTCGGACCTCCGTGGCCTCCGCGGGTAGAGGAGGAAGGCGTGCTCTCTGGGGGCAGGGACCTGCCCAAGCAGAGTGTGAGGACACGTGTGGAGGGGCCACATGACCAGAATGTCTGAGAGACGGAGGGACAGTGTGTGACCAGGGCCATCGGGACAATGGCAAGTGACTTGTGATATTTAACCAACGGCTTCGCAGGCCGGGTGTCTGACATTTAACCGAAGGTGTCTGTCTGATGTTTAACCAAGTGGGTCTGACTTGGTGTCTGAGTGATGTCGGACCCAGGACGTCAGCCCAGCGGCGCCGGGAGAGGGCCAAGGTGGGCCGGCAGTGCCGCGGGACTCACTCTGCCAGGCAGTCGGGGAGCCAGGCCCCTCCACTCTACTCGGAACTTCTGCACCGGCCTTCGGGCCGGGGGTGTCTACAGAGAAGGACTTGGCAGCCGTGTCAGGGGACTCGGTGTCCTGGGGTCAGCAGGGTCCATCCAGTGTGGCCCAGCGCTGACACTGGCTGGCACCAGCGTCCTCCACGGCCACTCATGGGCCCCGCAGACCACGTCTGCTCCCTCCTTGCTCACTACATCCCTGCAGGGTTGGGAAGTCCACAGAACTTTCCTTCTTGTCACACCACAGGCCATTTCCACTTCCACTCCACCTCCTGGACCCACTTCAGCTAACAAATCTTCCTCCAAGGCAGCGATGAGCGGATGCAGCCCCACCTTCCGGTGGGGAGCAGAAGTCACCTCCTTTGTTCTGGCCCATATACACCTACTGATTTGGTCCGCACTCCCTCTCGAATTTTGATGGCTACTCCAATCTCTCTGACGGGCCAGACCTTCAGGCCTCTGTTCCACGTTCCTTTTTCAGGCTTGGACTCTGTCCAGACACAGTGCTGCCTTAACTTTGACAGTCAAGTTAAGCGGGAAACGTTGCCCATGCTGCCATTCATGGACGCCACGGCCGGCTGGGGGCTCTGGGCCCTGT